TAGTAAAAAGTTAAAAGTTTCCAAATTATCGGTGAAGCATTCTATCCAGTTAAAACATTAGATTTTTTAAGTATAGTAAAAAGTTAAAAGTTTCCAAATTATCGGTGAAGCATTCTATCCAGTTAAAACATTAGATTTTTTAAGTATAGTAAAAAGTTAAAAGTTTCCAAATTATCGCTGAAGCATTCTATCTAGTTAAAACATTGGATTTTTTAAGTATAGTAAAAAGTTAAAAGTTTCCAAATTATCGGTGAAGCATTCTATCCAGTTAAAACATTAGATTTTTTAAGTATAGTAAAAAGTTAAAAGTTTCCAAATTATCGGTGAAGCATTCTATCCAGTTAAAACATTGGATTTTTTTTCAGTATAGTAAAAAAGTTAAAAGTTTCCTAATTATCGGTGAAGCATTCTATCCAGTTAAAATATTAGATTTTCTTCAGTATAGTAAAAAGTTAAAATTTTCCGAATTAACGGTGAAGCATTCTATACAGTTAAAACATTAGATTTTTTATTATTTTCGAATTATTTTTTATGTTTAAAAATCTATATTTACATTATGATATAATTGTGCTTTGTTTAGTTTGTTCTACACATTATTTTGGTAGTTTCATTTTGTTGTTTATTATGACTTCCTGTTGGAATTTTCTCATACCGGTGAAGGTTTAAATGTGAGAGAAAAGCAAGCTTCTTATTTGTGTAAAGAACCATGTCGTTTACCCGGTGATTGTAGGATAGCATTTATATCATGCAAGTAACTTGTCAGAAAGGCAGGACATGTGTTATTATTGTAATCTTGTTTTTTTGTGCGATATGACTTGAGAACGTATACTAATCCATTATACTACAATTATTCTCTATTTGGAAATTACATAAAAAGGAATTTACCAAAAATGTCCCTTCACTGTACATAAGGACTTGATGGACGTTACTTGTATGATACCATGAACCTTGTAACCATCAAAATTATAGACCTTTAACAATTTGGTGAGCAAGTACTCTAGATTTATGTTGAAAAAGCTAACAGGACTCACATGGACTCCATCAATCACTTTAGGGTTAAGACATAGTTGATAAAATATATTAGGAAAAACATATAGTAGTGGAGGGATAATGGTCCATATTATAGTGAAGGGATCATGGTCCGTATTATAGTGAAGGGATCATGGTCCGTTTTATAGTGGGGATCATGGTCCGTTTTATAGTGGAAGGATCATGGTCCGTATTATAGTGGAATCATGGTCCGTTTTATAGTGGAAGGATCATGGTCCATATTATAGTGGAGGAATCATGGTCCATATTATA